CCAAAAAATGTTACAGACTTAAAGGAAAAACTCAAAGATCAAAGAATAAGGGTTCAAGTCCACCTCGCATGCACTCTTCCATCAGCATCCCTACATGAATCTCAGTGGTATACTCAGGTTAGAGGCACGGCCGGAACAGCAGCTCCCTTCTGAGTCCCACACCAGTCTGCCTTTCCACAACAGCCTCTTAGAAGACACAAACCACACATTTTCTTCCTTACATTCATGTTAACAGCTTGCAAAAAAAAGTACTGAATGAATGATGAGTAATTTTAAGTTCTTCAGGCAAATAAAGCTACCTGACACTTGCCTAGGTTGAGTTGTTCAGTATTTGGCAAAATTTTTCATCTCTGATAGGAATAACAATCAAAAATATAACTAAAATGATCATGGCAAATATCACATTACTTTTATAAATCTCTTTCAACTCTCTTTTATGTCTATATTATCTCAGAAAAACTGCTGCTCTTCTGTTAGTTAAAATGTTTTCCCATCTCCAACAAAAATCAATAAACTAGATTATAAAGCTTCATAAATTAAAGAGGCTGTATACTGATTGGCTTATAAAGAGAAATTCATGTATGTATTTCTAAAATTCTATGGAATAAGGAAACTGAACTCATATTTTAAATGGGCTAGACTGTAAAAATAATTCTTAGCATATTCAAATTCACATTATTAAGATAAATTCTTAGCAAACTTATCAAGTTCTATAATTTTGGTTTATAAGATTTACAGTATCTTACGATTTAGGAAATGTTACATACAGTGCAAGCACACATTTTATGCTACTTGAGTCTGATTTTCTCAAATATATGTAAATTATTGAACAAATAAGCCAATATGACCTAATATTTAGGTTATACAGAAAATGAAAATTTCTATTCAACTAAATTTAGTCATTACTCTAGTAAACTTTATTTAAACAGTAAAATTACATTTTGTAGTACAATATTTTAATATTGAACATAATTTTTTTAATTTCAAGTAATCAAAATGTTGACCTGATATTAAGTTAATTAAAAGATAACTTCCAAGATAAAACACTAAATCACTGATAAAGTCTATATAATTTTTCTGTGCTATAAAAAACTATTTCTTTCAACCATCTTAATAAGCATATCGGTCTTTCCTATTTTACAAAGATGTACAAATTTATGAGCAACTGGAGAAAGTTGTATCATTGGTATTCATGAGCTGCAGTGGTCTATTAAAATGGCTGTGCATAATCCAAAGTTCTATTGTCCCCTCCTCAGGCTTTTTGGTTTTGTTTTCTGTCAAACATAAGTTAGTTATTTTTGCTAAAAGTCATAATCTGTGAGTGTTTAGGACTATACTAGTATCAATAGTATCAGACAAATACAATCTGGTATATCTTTGTTTTACAAAGAAAAAGAATAGTTTTACCCTTAGTATAAATAAAAGCCATTCTTGAGCTTTCTTGTTTAAATATCTGGACTCCTTTATATTCTTGAGACTTACTGAAGACCCTGAGGAGCTACTGTTTATTTATAACTATTTAAATCTATCATATTAGAAATTGTAACATTTTTTTAAAAGAACTATGAATTCATTTGATAAAATAATCATGAATTCCCTGCATGTTAACGTAAGAAGAATAAATATGATAGTGATGATGAAATTAATTTTTATCTTTAGAGCTCTGTGACATCCTAAAGTATCCGTTTATTCTTGAATAAGAGAATATAATGAAAGAAAATGTGATTTTTGTCTTGTTTGATAATATCAGACACTGAAGTTATGAAAGTTGTTCAAATTCACTCAATTTTGATGAGCTCGCTTCCTTAGTTTTGTGAGTAATGCCTCTGCCTACAATATGAAAAGTTATTCGTTCCCCTGTAGCAATCCTCCAATTTCTATATTCATGTCTTTGTGTTTCCTTAGGCTGCAGATACTCTCCATTCCTACTGAATCCACAAAGCCCTCTCATCACTCACATGAAAGATTATTCATTATTTTTGAAGTGATGAAAATTAAATTGTCTTCTCTTCGTTTACCTTCTCCACTCTCTCCCACCCCCAAAAGGTAACCTAACCTTTCCATACAATCACTTTGTTCTCCTTCATGTGTATCTTCTTTTTCATTCCTAATGTAACCAACTCTTGTTTTCATACTTCTTACTTTGCATCTGAACTCTGCAATAGCTACCTGATTAATTAATATCCCTTGCCCCTAATTTCTACTATCACTAATCCAGGCTGTAATCTACCCCACATTAATCTTCCTAAAAGTGAGTTTGTTATATCACACTTTCCACGTGAAGAACCAACTCTTTGACAAGGCAAACTGTTACTAAAACCCAAATCCATTTAATTTTATTGTTTCATCTCCTACTTCTCCCCCATAAAAACTATTCCACTGTATTAAAAAAACAAACAAAAAAACACCTTTAGGGCTGAGGATTTAGCTCAGTGGCACCACACCTGTCTCACAAGCAAAAGGTCCTGAGTTTGATCCCAATACCAAAAAAAAAACCCTTTAATTGCAATTCCTGAAATGAGATGTGAGTTGTGCCACTGACTCTTCTATTTCCAAAAGAAGAAAAACACAAGTGAATATGTCTGCAATAGACCAACGCTAATTAAGTCCATATGGTAGAAACAAAAGCCAATGGATTTATAATACTATATTGCTTTGAATAAAATTGTTTAATAATTATAAAGACACTGAAAGAAAAACTATTAGGATAATCTTTATTACGTGGCAGGGCTAAAATAATTGGGGAGAGTTTTGGGAGAGCTTTATAAGAATGAACATTATAGCTTAATGGTTAAGTGCACATGCTTTTGAGTCAGAAAACCTTTAAATCATTACTCCTCCTCTTAGAGCAAGCAGTGTGTCTTCAGTTAAGTTACCTACTTAAGCTTCAATGTGAGGAATGATATTATCTCCCAGTACCCAGGGGAGGATTTGAAAGTACAATAAATTACACACATAAGGTACCTATTATACAATAAGAGCTAAATAAAGAAGTTTTTTTTTAAAAAATTATTGCTACTGAGGCAATCTGAGGTACAATGAAAAGCGGTTAAGAAGTTAAGTTAGTAGAATAAAGTAGTAAAAAGTAAGACAGGTAAGAAACACTCACAGAGCACTTGTGTCTTCTGTAGTATTCAGTATATTCTACAAAAAGCACATGGTAAACCCATTCTTCAGGGCCCTGTGCTAGAATCCCTTATAAAGCTTTGTTTCTTTAGATAAAAATCGAGGAAATTAGACAACAAGGTATCTAAAGTTCCTTTCGGCTCTTTCAAAATAAACTGTGAGAACTTCCGGAAACTGGAATCCTAAGGTTTATGAAATTCATATTACACGGTTAATTGATGTTGTAGTTCACCAAGTACGTGAAGGCTTACTGGTGTTCTGTTGACTTTACAAGTTCTGAAAACAAAGGAACAGTTCTATCCCAACTGAAAAATTTCAAATGCAATTTTTATAAGTCACAAAGAGGAAGAGCAATAGATAATCTCACTTAAACTTCTGCTACAGGTGGGCACAAGGACATTATCAACTCATGAGTGAACCCAAAACTAGGAGTCTCCAGACCTCCTAAGATTTCTCAGGGCCATTTTAAGAGGTAGAAATAACAAAAACAACAATAACAAAATAGAACTGAAGAGAAACAGAAGACATTCCTGGATAAGTAAACAAGTGAGAAATGAAAAGACCAAGAAAAGAACATTTCAAAATGGTAAAATCAATCATCAAGACTATTCTTTGTATGCTACTTGGGAACACACCCAATTAAGCTTCTTATTTCCATATGTCTTCACTGTAAGGATTTATTTTGTATATTTATTTATAAATAAATTCTTTCTCTAAAAGGTTAAAACTAAATTAACAATATATACCCTTTTATTTGAAAGCATAACCAAGGGTTGCACTAGATCTAATTAATACTTTACATTCCCGTTTAACTTTTCAAGTTAGTTGCTAATTTCTAAGTCTTACAGATTATCTTTTCTATCCAGGAAATTATCCTTCCACATATATTCAAACAGTATGTCTGTATACTTATTTCTGAATAAAATACTTTAAAGTTATACTTTTGTCAGATTTAACTTTGTAAATTGTGAGAATTATATCTGTGATCTTAAATTACAAGTTTGGAGTACTATAATTTTAACAGTGATAAAATTGCTTTCTCCTGCTTCTTTTAAGAAAAATAAAAGACTCTACTCACTAGGTATCCAGCAAAAAGTACTTATTTCTATCAAACTGTAAATTTGTATGGTTAACCATATGTTATATAATTCAATTTCAAAATGGTAAATCTGTAATATATAATTTTAAATATTTAACTATTTATATTTATCATTTACAAACATTTCATCATTTGGGTCATACTAAATATTTAAAGAATTATAGAAAAATATAATTTAAAATACAAATGGAATAAATTCGTTCTGCACTCTCCCATGCTATAAACAAGAGCTATAGACAAGTCATTTAAACATAAGAAAATAGTGCCAATTCAAGTTCTAAATGGAAATGACTCAGATATTACTGTGACACGGAAAAAAATCAATCACAGCAGTTATACTTATTTCTAAAAAGAAATAATATATCTAGCAAATATTAAGTAATATCACGTTTGTTTTGTTTGCTACAGGGGATCAAACTCGGGACCTTATGCTTATGAGGCAGGCAGTGGAACTACTGAGCTAAATCCCAGGGCCCAATATCAAGTTTTTGAGATAATTTTTAAATGTTTTTAAATATATGTTCCATAAATAGAAGAGTATAAAAATGTTAAAGCTGAAACCATCCAGACCTTATTATTTTCAATATAAGAGCTTTTTGCACATATCTACTTGGTAACTTTAAAAGATTCTTCCATATATTCTCCACACATGCTTTTTCCTCACAGCTGATCAAGAAAAAATGATATTCATGTATAGTAGTAGCAGTAGTGGTAATGGTAACAATAATCATAATATTCTAATTTGAATGTCTTTTTTAAATTATGTGGTCCCAACCTGGTCTCCAAAGTCCTCAGGAAACTTCCACAATACCACAGGATCTGCAAATAATTGACACATATTATTAAAAATGAGGCAAAAGAAGACATGTTAAGCAACAGTTTTGCTAAAATATTCTTCAAATAGTTAAGGCTGCTTTAATTATAATTTCTAAAGTTGTCTATGAACACAGCTGGTCAGGTTCACTTCTCTTCCCTTATCAAATTAAGTATTTTGATCTTTTAAGGGTTTAATGACCTTTGAAACAACATCAAATCAAAGTAATAACTTGGTCAGTTCACTAAAAATCATTCGTTTTAGCAACTCACCTTTTTATTTACATGCCTTCGTTTTATAAGATTCTGAACAATGAACTTTCATTTTTAAAAATATATGTACAAAAATACTGGTTTTATCTTGAAATAAAAATATATGTAGTAAATATGTACTCAACTATATTATGGCCTTCAAAGACTAGCCAAAAAACAGTACATCACCTTAAATTTGCACTTAAAATTCTAATTAAGAATTTATAAAAACAATAATAATATCAGCTGTACACCAGTTTTTAAATATAGATGCTCTGTCAATCTTTTTACTATTACAGATAAATCAGTAGGTAGATATAAGGCAGCTATTTAAAATACAATTGATATTTGTAGGAGAATTCCAAAAAAATCGTTCAACCACATACCATAGTAATTCATTCACACAAGTTAACATTTTTCAAAAATAGTTTCAAGTTTTTTATTTTTATTATATCTCACACTACTTCTAACTTAATATAATAAACTGAAGTTCTTAGTTTTAATTAGTACTAGTATATATTATGGTCATAGACTTATTTTATACCTTGGTCAAAATAAACTTCTGAATATTTGTAATGGTTTTAAAATAATAATCTAACATAGGTTAATACTTCTTTAAAAACTTTAAAAATTCATAATAAAACTAATATGAATACAAGTACTGACAACTTGACAGGGTTTGAATTCCACTCCCAATAAAAGGATTTTGTTGATTAACAATATCACTTTATATATCCAATCAGTGGAAAATTATAGTTCTATTCCATTATTTCCACTATTATATAGGTTTTTTTAAATGCAATCTAAGAATATATAATTTCCTAACTGTTAATTCCAAAACCCAAAAACTGAGTAACAACATTTTTAGCATGAGCTGGCTGCTCATATATTTTCACTTAAGATGACCAAATTTTTTCAAATACTTAACTTAAAAATAAAAAAGCATTCTTTCCACAATTAAATTTTTCACTTAAGGGTTTTTTAATTTTCCAAATAAATTAATAAAAATAAATCATTTAAGAAATATTATGTAAAAATAATACATTACAAATTTATGAAGGTAACACCAAATGATTACGTTCTCATGTAAAACAAACATACATTTCTGAAAGGAATGTGAGGTGCATTCTAGATCATCTAAAAATCCTCAGATGTTAATGTTCTAAGGATAATTATGTTTTCAATTAGAGAAAAATATACATATGTTCATGTGGCAGTTACACAAAATTATAGCTGTTAAGATTTGAATCCCTTAAAGCAAAAGTGTAAGACAAAATCTTCACAAAATATTAAGTTATTATGGTGATGAATCAATACAAAAACCAGTGGCTAGGTCGGCATGGTGGCACATGTCTGTAATCCAATCACCAGGTGTTTCAGGCCAGCCTAGGCCAGACTGAGTTCAAAGCCAGCTTGAACTGCATAGCAAGACTCTGTCTCAAAAATTAAAACACCTGTGTCGTAAAACTAGAACCTTGTTAACCTACCTGTACAGCCCTTGTAGTCAGTCTGCCATCACTGTTGCCAACATTTAGTTAAGTATGGTTTACAGCCTGACTTTTCATTCATTGCTCACTTGATCTTTTTTGTTGTTGTTCTGTATATATATATATTTTTTCCCACAGAACAACAAGTGGCTTAAATGCCTAGAAGAAAGTATCCTGTATTTTTATTAAATAAATCCTATACTTCAGCACTCAAAAATGCATTAGAATCATTTGCATTTGTATTTTGAAATGGATTGATTTAGGTGCTGTTTATATGTTTATTTTTAGACCACATCTAATATATCTTTGTAGCTACTTTGCAGAAGCACTACAAAGAAAGAAAAAAAGAGATCTGGGAGGAAAATCCTATTCTACAACTTCATACAAAGACTTAATTTTTCTGTTCCCTGAGGATTACTTTCTAAATAATCTTATCTAGCAATCTTAGGCCAATTTTATGCTGATTTTATGGTTGAAAGGATGAGAACTGCTGGCAGGAATCACAACTGCCAGTGTCGTCTAATACACTGCTGATGTCTCCTCTTCCCAATGTCTACTAGTAATTAGAACGAGACTCATCTTTCTTCTTAAAAATACTCTGCCACCAAAACCTAGAAATCAAATATATATGAAAGGAAGAATATAAACTTGATTTTGATATATAGTTAATATTTATTTTAATAAAATAATATTACAGTGTAAGAAAAATATATACATTTTTATTAAATCAGTAAGATTTAAAGGTAATTTTTAAAGTATTATTTTTATGCCACTTGCAAAAAGATTTCTGATTCATGATTAAGGCTTTTTTAAAATGTAAGATAAATTCAGTAATATTTTCTTTCTCAATCAGATATTTCATATTTTCTGGCCCTTAATGGAAAACAAAAATTAAAATAATGTAGACTATGAGTGACTCTACTAAACTACAAAAAATGTAAACTTTCTAATAAACTTTCTAATTTGCATAAATGAAAAAAATTAATTATGTGAAATTCAAAGATGGATTAAATGTATATTTTTTAAATTATGTACTTATAAAACCACAGGTAAGAGAGTACATGCTTTTGGAAAAACAGAATGTAAAATATTCATATTTTGCTTGATTATAGCTTCTAGTGCTTGATTTACTTACATCGTAGAATCAGATGTTTATGTGTAAGGAAACTGAAGCCAAATTAAAGAAGAATTTGCTTGGTCATATAGCTAGCCAATGCCAGAGACTAGATTCCTTATTAAGCCAGTGAACTTTTCAGCTGAGTTCAAATGTTCCTGCAGTATAATAAGCACCACCTATTTCAGTTTCCAATAATTTATAACTTTGTGTGGCTCATCTGGCAAATTCAATTTGTTTCATTCAAAAACCTAAGCAGTAGTGAGGCATGGGGCACGTGTATGTAATCCTACCTACTCAAGAGAGTGAAGCAGGAAGATGCCAAGTTTGAGGCCAGCCTGGGAGCATAGCAAGACCCTGTCTAAAATACATACATACGTATGTATAAATGTGTATATGCACATACCGTATGTGCATATAATAAAGCTTAAGTGTATACACACACAAATACATATAAACATAGCACCAAAGAAACAGGAAAAATCTCTGCCCTCCAATGCCCTACAGCACCCATGAACAGAAATGTCAAAGGGCTACCTAGCTTTTATGCAAATAATTATTTTAAGGAAGGTATACTGCAGGAACATTTGAACTCAGCTGAAAAGTTCACTGGCTTAATAATATCAAGAAATGTTGCTAATGAAAGAACGGTGATACTTTTGAACATATGTGAGTGAAAATCATTAACGAAAATGTTTGAATTTTAAAATACATGATTTTTATTCTTTTAGCTGTAGAAATATAATGGTAAACTTAAAACAGGGTCTATACCACTTACATATTACAAAACTACAGTGATAAAAACAGCATGATATTAGCACCGAAGCAGGCTGGATCAATGGAATGGAAGAGAGAAAGTAGAAATAACCCCAGGCACATTTAGCTATTTGATCTTTAATAAAGGTGCCAAAAACATACACGGGAGGAAAGATAGCCTCTTTAATAAACGGTGTTGGGAAAACTGGCTATCCACATGCATAAGATTGAATCTAGATCCATATATTTCACCATGTACTAAACTAAAATCAAAATGGATCAAAGATCTAAATGTTAATGTAAAACACTTAAGCTGCCAAAAGAGAAAATAGTTAAAACTCCAGAAGACACAGGCACAGGCAAGGAATTTCTGAACATAACCCCAGTTGCACAGGAAATAGTACCAAAAATCATCAAATGGGATCATATCGAGTTGAAAAGCTTCTCCATACACATCAAAGGAAACAACCAACAAAGTGAGGAGACAACCCACAGAACGGGAAAAAAACCTGCCAGCTAGTGCTCAGAGGACTAATATCTAGAATATACACACAACCTGATTAGAAAATGGGCAACTAAAGTGAATAAACACTTCTCAGAGGAAGATGTAAAAATGGTCAAATAAATACAAGAAAAATGTGCAACACTACTGGCCATTAGAGAGATACAAATTAAAATAACACTGAGATTCCAACTTAGTCCAGAAAAAAATGGAATCATCAAGAAATAAAATAACAAATGCTGGTGAGCCTGAAAGGAAAAAGGAACCCTTCTATTTTGTTGGTGGAAATCGAAACTAGTACAACCACTAAGGAAATCAGTATGGGGATTCCTCAAATAACTAAAACTCCAAATTCCATTTGACCCAGCTATTCCTCTTTGAGGTATCTTCCTGAAAGAGTTAAAAACATCAGACTACAGCAATACATGCATACCCATGAAGCACAATTCCTAATAGCTAAATCTTGGAAGAACCCTTGCAGCAGAAATAAGGTAAAGTAAGAGTTAGATGTGGTGGCATGCATCTGTAATCCCAGCACTCAGGAGGCTGAGGCAGGAGGATCATCAAGAGTTCGAAGCCAGCCTGGGCTACACAGTGAGTTCCAGGCCAGCCTGAACTACATAGTGAGACCCTGTCTCAAAAAAAAAGTCAAATAAATACATGCACAAAATCAGGTAGCTTAAATTCTGGCCTTCTACCCATCAATAACAATGTTTTCTGCTATGATCAGAGACAGGTACTGAACAACAGCACATCAATCTCATTCTCAGACTACACTTATATGTACATAAAGATATGCTGCCGGGGATTTAGCTCAGTAGTTTCACCATCTGCTGCACAAGTGCAAGGACCTGAGTTTGATCCCCGGTACCAAAAAAAAAAAAAGATACGCTAT